CATTCCTGTATCTCCTTTGTGGCACATCATGAGGTAATCCTTAAGACTAGCTTCTCCAGCATGATTATCCTCCATTTTATACTTTTCTTTTTCTAAATATCTCTCCACCTCCTCCATTTCAGAGCGAGGTCTCTCCATATCCACCATGTTTACCTCAACATCCTCCCCCTTAGTGTCATCATCTCCCCATCCTGTAGGTTTTATATCTTCAATTTGGACCTTTGAACTCTCTGGGGCAGAATATTTGACCAGGTAGTCAAACTTTCCACTGGGTTCCCCTAACGTATCCCATATTTCTTTCTGAGGGGAGGTTGGCTTCGTGATTTGGACTTTCTCCAATTCTAGCCTCAGGCCTTCAGTAACCTACGTCAACTCTTGGTTTTGGTTTTCCTGGCCTTCAGTAGCCTGGATTTCTTTTGCAACAGCTAAAGGTGCTGCTTTGATCGAAGTCTCTGGTTGCTTGTGGACGTCTTCAGTGACCTCCTTATTGACTTCGACTATCACCCAACTTTCATTTTCAGTACCTTTCTCTCCTACTGGAGCGTCACTTTGGTCAGCTTCCACCATGTTAATTTCCCCAATGCATGCAGGCTCGGAGTAATTGGTGTCTGCGACGTCCAAAGGATCTTCATCTACTTTCATTTTTGCTTTATCAGCGAACTTCAGTCTGCCATCTTTAATTGCATTCTGAATTAGGTCCCTGAAAAGAAAACACAGTGAGGTTTTGTGGCCTAGGAAACTATGATACTTGCAAAATCCTCTTTTCTTTCTTTGATCTAAAGGAGGTATTTTGACATTTGATGGCACAATGAGTTGGCCATCTTTGACAAGTAAGTCAAAAATCTCGTCACACTTAGTGACATCGAAGGTATAAACCTTCTTTGGGAATTTGTCACTTTTCTCATTTTCAACAATTTCTTTCCCTTTTGTGGGAACTAATAATTTGCAGGAGTAAGGTGGTGCCTGTTTTAATTCAGCGAGGTCGATTTCGACCTCTTCGAATTCGAATTCAGGATAATCTTCTGCTTCCTCAGTTCCAACATAGGAGATCCTTTCCTTCTTGTTATTTTTAAAGACTCTGGCCTTTTCGGCCTTTAGCCTTTCAACCTGTCGAACCCTATCGGCTAATTGAGCCATATCCCTCAAGTATTGAGTGTCTAATTTCTTTCGAATAGAGTAATCCAGGCCGCCAGCAGCCATTTCGACTAACTCATGTTCAGGAACTACTGTAAAACATCTAGATTTCAAGAGCCTGAATCTATTTAGATAATCATCTATGGGTTCAGTAAACTTCCTCTTGACACTGGCTAGTTCCTTCAGACTTATTTTTGATTGTCCCATGTAGAACTGTTCATGGAATAATCTCTCCAAAAGAGCCCAAGTATCAATGGACCCAGGAGGCAAAGTGGTGAACCATGTGAAAGCGTTCTTAGTCAGGGAACTTGGGAAATATTTGATCCTAAGGTCTTCATTATTGGCTATATCTCCTGCTTCGGTTAGATACCTGGCTATATGTTCGACTGTTGACTCATTGATATCCCCAGCAAACTTTGTAAACTTAGGGACTTTATATCCCCTTGGTAAATCAGTGTGCATTTTGTAATCTAATATAGGGGAGGCATAATTTGGCCTTCTAATTCCTGTGTTGAGGCCATTCTGGGCCATGATTCTCTCTATCATGGTGGTTAAATTATTTTCTGCCAAGATGTTATCGTTTCGAATTTTATGAACGACTGCATCAACATCTTGATTTCGACCCACCATGATAACCCCTCTAGGTTGTTCTTCTCGAAACTCTGGGACTTCTAGCCTTTCGACCCTTGCCCCTGGTTCCATAATTTCCCTTTGTGGGCCTTGGATCATTGGGGCTTCTAGCCTTTGTGCCCTTGCCCCCAAATTAACCTCCTCTCTGGCTGGTCTATAGGGTGGGTCGTTAGCAACTTGTTCTATAATGGGTACGTTTGCTCGAACTCCCGCCTGATTCTTCCTACGCCTTTCTGGGGGAGCGAAGAAATCTACTATTCGACTCATGTTATCTGCGTTTTCTCTGTTTGTCACAGTCACATTTTGTACTATTGGGGCAAAGATCTCCTGCATAGTTTGTGCTAATACTCCTATCATATTATGGTTACTATCATCCATTAATTGCCTAAAGGCCAACTGATTTTCTGTGGTTAAGATAGGCATTGCACTATGACCCACTGACCCTTGGTTATTTGTCATAAACTGATTTGCCCCAGACCCAGACCCTAATTATGGTGATGAATTCGATGTGGAATTGTGTAAGCCTGCCATAAAAGATGTTGGCATTCCATAAGAGGAATTTCTGGTTCTATTACCATCGAAACCGGGTGGTCTAGTTAGTGGGGTGACGAAATGGGTTTGTGTTCCTGGTGGTGGGACGAATCCCCCAGGATAACCAATGGTTCCAGTATTTCCTAGGATCGAACTGTTAGTTGATATGCCACTTGTTCCATTAGTGGCTACATTACTGGTAGAGGATGCAACAGACTGTGCGTTCGAAGGGATCACATTAGATGTTCCCATCGAGGCGGAGATATTAGTGCCTGTTGTATGTGGGGCATTTTGTTCCCCTTGTTGATTGTCAGAATTAGACATCTTGTTCAAACGTTTTCTTCTGGATAAGGGTTGGTTGCTATTGGTTATTCTACCACTTCTAAGGTTCATAAAACAACAAACTTATCACTCAGAGAGTACTTTTACAATGGTTATGTCTCAACAATTTTTTACTTTGTCCTAAATTTCGTAATGACCAATGACGCGTCCCACCGGGTGTGCCAATTTGTTTACAGTTATTTCTGGTAAACAACCGCTAGTCCTCCAAACTATCAAATAATCTTAATGACTGTTATTTAATCTCTCTGGTAACTTGCAGGATCGACTAGATTGATCCTAGGATGTATTGGTCATTTGGATAATTCTCACTATAGAACTGATATTCATGGTTGGTATTTAGAATGTTGTGTAGGTGTTTAACTTACTTCGATTAATCTATTAAAGATCTAAAGGCGTGATCAAGTAAATGCGCGCGAAACTAAATTGCATGAATAAAGTTCAATTGTAAAGACATGTAAAACTGCAGAAAAGACAAGTAAATGACTTCGAAATATAAGAGCATGTAATGTAAAAGCGTTTCTGGAATGTAAAAGATTCGAAATATGAAGAAAGTGTTTTAATGCAAGAAATCAGTAAAATGACTTTAAATGAAAAAGGTATTCGAATGATAAAAGCATGAAGATAAAGGCATGAAATATACAAAAGTTTCTGAAAGTAAAGGATTTGAAACGGAAAGAAAACATTTAAATGTAAGGCATCAGTAAAAAGACTTCGAATGAAAATATTTTAATGCAAAGGCTTTTGAATGGTATTGACATGAAGATAGAGGAAAATACTGGAAATGATAAAGAGTTTTATTAAATCATAAACACTTGGTGTTATCATACGTACATTGCTCGTGCATTCGTTTCCCTAGCCATGTGGTATTTTGAATGTTTACTGAGTTTTTTGTACAATAGATATGACACACGAAATCCTAATGCTAAGACTTCTATTTATACTACTTCAACCATAACTGTCTTGCTATAAGATTCTGCCACGTTCAGAACATGCAAAGCAATGCCTCTCTCTAGCTTCCACGCGTCTTCGAATGCTCCAGTGCATATATTTTAAATTTCGAACATCCCGCTTGCATTTGAATTTCAAATGTTTTGGCACTTCTTCGTTTCGAACGCATTTCTTGGATACATCCTTGTTGCCACTTCGAGACTTCTTTTGAAGATATCCTTATAACTGTCACTCGAAGCTCAAAGTTTTGACATGCCCATTCGAATCACTGCTTCTACCATTTCGAAACATGACATTTTGCTTTATTCTAATCGAAACATCCAACTTGCTTCGCTTCGAACAATATCATCAAAATCTTCAGCCAACACAAGGATTGTTTCACCAGATCTCCTATGACATCAAATTTGCAACCCTGATACATCAATTTAGGTTTGGAATTGGCACAAGGGCAAACTGGTCAATTGCACACTGAAAAGTCAAACTTTGATTTTTGGATCAAAATCAAGTTCCAAGAATTATATTTCATCAAGACATGTTGAAATATGAAGTTGGTTTCATCAAGAAAAACCAAAAGTTAATATTATGTTGAAAAAGTCAAAATTCTAAATACTTAGAAATCTTTCTAAGTGTTTAGGAAATATGATGAGTTCAGAATTTCTGGTCATATTTTCACCATAATGCAAGTTGATTCTAGAAGAACTTCTAACACAAGAGTTTTAGATTTCAATGAGGTCTAAAACATTGCAGAATAAAACTTCTCCTTGAAATGCTTAGATTTCAAGTTATACATCTTCAAAGATACGACATTGAAACTGAAACATTAAGTTAATTCTGGATCTTCCCGAGACAGGATTTGGTTAGAACTTCTGAACCAGTTTTCATGTAGGTCCAGTCAGAATTTGCAAGAGCAATTCAAAGAGGATTTACAAAGAGTGTTATAAGATTTCTAGAATGTCTGAGAACTCCTTCAGAACATGCTGGAGCAAAGAGATTCAAAGATCAGAAGTTGGATGTTTATTCTAAGTTACGCTGATGTTGAACTTCTGACCCAGAATTAAGCTATGATGCATAATCTCATATTGCAGGATTTCTGGTTTGATAAATCTCATCATCATTTAATGCTCACGAACACTTTTGAGTTTTTATCCAAAGGATTTCCCCACGTGTGAGATAGAAGTATCATTGTTGTCCTTGAAAAGCAAACTTTTGTACAAGTTTATGCTGAGTCCATGCTTTGCTTTTGCCTCTGAGGATACTTTTCCTTAATTCATGCTTACAAATCCAATTTAGGCACGGCTAAAAGGTGCTAACCACTATACTTGTTTAACTTGCTTCAAGAATAAGTCAGCTCCCTAGCATGATGGTTGTACTCTTGACTTCTCCAAGCTACAAAATCCTTTCCTATAAATTGAACTTCATTGGCAACTGTAAAAAGGTAAAAAAAAATCGAAAAGAAAAGCCTTGAAACCTTGCTTAAAATTCCAGGAATTCGAAGCTGCAGCCCAAATACAAAACCTGCCAACCTTTGAATTTTTGCATTCAAATTCCAATTTTCCGTAAGTGTTTCTCGACCAAACTATCAACATAGTTTTTGATACATATTTAGAAGTCATCCCAACTTCTATTTTCAGACTGCACTTTGTAGCGGTGAAAATCGGAGATCAAACTATTAATTAACTTGACTCACAAAAGCAAGAGTCGCCACCGCGCTTTATTATTTCCAAGGGAAAAGAGAAAAAAGCGAAATAAAACCCTAAAGGATGCAATGTAAAATAATACTTTTAAAAGTAATGAAAATACAAGGCGTTTTGAAAAGAGGTCTAGAGTTCGGGGGTTGGTTATATAGTGGGAAGGTATTAGCACCCAATGCATCTGCGGTACTCCGCAGGAACCTTTTGAAATATCTGTTTTTTGGTTTAAAATTGTCTGTTTGGCTAAAAATAGGTGTTGGCGAGATTTTGAAGATGCGACGACCTAGTGTCGAAGTTTTGACTTAAAAAGGTGTGAGTTTGAAAATTGAATCTTTCGGGAAAATTATCTTAAGTTTGGAAAAATAGTAAACAAGCAAAAAATGAATGAGGCTATTCGCACGATCGGATGAGATGTATTTGATGACGTGAAGTCAACAAAATTAAAATATTTCCCTTGGAATTAATCATAAGCAGGTAGATCTAATATTCGAGTAAAAAATCATAAATAATTAAAAATCCACGAGAAACGAACAAGGTAGATAACAAGATAATTGTAAGAAACTAAATGAATGGACAAAGAAGAATCATGAATAAAAGAAAAGTGTAATTAAAAAAAATTATCTAAACTAATTTGAAATTCTAAGGTTACTAAGTAAACTAAACCTAAATTCTAAAGTATCTAATTAAATTAAATAAAATTTTGAAGTTATTAACTAAAACTAAATTAAAATTCTAAAGTTACTAACTAAAATTCGAAATTTATTAAATTAAATCCAAAATAAATTAACACTCTAATATTACTGAATTAGGTCTAAACTAAATTAATTCTAAAGTTGCTAATCTAAAAAAAGTTCCAAAGTTACTAAACTAAATCTAAATCAAATAAAATTCTAAAAGAATATTAAACTAATTCTAAACAACTAAAATTCTAAACTTATTAAACTAATTCTAAATCAAATAAAGTTCTAAAGTCCCTAAACTAAACTAACAACTAAAATTCTAAAGTTAACTTAAATAAAATCAAATAAAGTTCTAAAATTTACTAAATTAAAACTAAAACAAATAAAATTCTAAAGTTTACTAAGTCAAAAACTAAAACAAATAAAACTCTAAAACTTACTAAGTCAAATCTAAATGAAATAAAATCCTAAAGTTACTAAAACAAAATGAAATTCTAAAGTTTACTAAGTCAAAAGTAAAACAAATAAAACTCTAAAATTTACTAAGTCAAATCTAAATGAAATAAAATCCTAAAGTTACTAAAATAATACTACAACACATAAAATTCTAAAGTTTACTAAACTAAAGCTAAAATAAACCTAAATTAATACTAAACTAAATTAATTCTAAACTAAAGATTAAAATTCTAAAACTAAATTAAAATTCTAAAGTTATCAAAATGTATCTAAACTAATTGGAAGTTCTAAAGTTATAAAATAGATCTAAACAAATTAAAAATTTTAAGTTATCAAAATATACCTAAACTAATTAAAGGTTCTAACATTACTAATTTATATCTAATTAAATTAAAATTCTAAAATTATTAATTATGATTCTAAGTATTTTAAAGTTATAAAATACATCTAAACTAATTAAAAAAATTCTAAATTAATATTAAACTAAATCTAAATATAAGATTTATTAATATTTTTTTTATATTTTTTTTTGAAGTAGCTTTAACATCTTAAAATCCAAACCAAAGTTCTTAATCAATGAGATAATGACATGTGTTACTCAAACAAAAAATTAAAAAAAATAAATAAAAGCCATACCATAATGCAAACGATGTAAAGTATCAGATCCACAAAAGCATCCTCTTCATCTCTCTCGTCTACCTCTTTCATCTTCTCACTTTTTCTTCATTCTTGTTTTTAAGAAAATATTTAAAAAACACAGAGACATTAACATATGTAAAGAAAAACACGGCGTGAGAACGACAGCCTCACGGTGGTGTGCGTGATGGAGTTTCGTTCTTCTTTTTTTTACTTTATTCCTACTGTGCTATGTGTTGTTGGTGTTGTTGATGGTTGGTCGGAAGCGGGTTAGTTCAAGTTGTTTATGGGTTACGATGGAAGATATGAGGCGGAGGTTAGTTCGCGTGGGTTATGAGAGGAAACGGTGAGGGGTTACGGAAGTTGAAGTTTGCGGAGAAGGAGGAACGTGAGTTGCGGAGGTTTGCGGTAGTCGTGCACGGATCCGCGACTGTGAGTGGTGGTTCGACGTGTCGGGAGTGCGGCATTCGTCGGAAAGATGGATGCACCGGTTGAATAGCCTTCGTTGGAGTTTCGCGGTGATGGCGTTGAAGGCGGCATCTGGTTCAAACCCATTTTCCAAAACAGTAAAAAAAGAGGTCTTTTTGCTTCATCAACATCGTTTTTCTCACAGTGGCACCTTATCATGATGGAGTAAGTGCAACAATCTGGAACAAGATGAAAAGATGGTAACTTTGTGAAAATTGTTTAAAAAAGTTTCGGATCTTGTGCAATGACTAGTGCCATGAGAAGGTGATTGAAATCTGGTATGGTTTGAATTTGAAAGATAGTATCATCTTTCTCTAGGATTTGTTGTAGTATGTGGGTTTTGTTTTTGGACGAGGATAAAGATGTGATGCTTCGTACGAGGTTTTTGAGTCAGAACCTAGTTGCTTTGTCCTTGAAATCGATAAGATTGTTTGTTGATTGTTTGATGGAGGAATTAGTGAGAGAGGAAGAGTGTGTGGTTAGAAGAGAGGGGTTAAAATGGAGTTTAAATTTGGAAGCTTTTTACAGTGTAGCCACGAGAGTTCACTCCCTGTGTCGAGGACTATGGTAACATTCTGTGGGGGTGGGGCTAATGTTAGTGAAACGGTTAAGGTTGCATTGTGTTGGAAAGAGAATTTACGTGAAGAAGGGTTTGGGAGCGAAATTGTGCCACGTGGGAATGTTTGGAGTTTTAATGGTAATATGAAAGGTTGTTTTTGTGGGGAAGATGAGAAAGAAGAGGAATATGGGTGTGTTACTGTAAGTTTTTGGTGTCTTGTTTTTATGAAGTAGAGAAAGAGATAAGATCTTGTTCCAAAGAGTAAGCTTTATATAAAAAAACAGAATTTGATTTCAAAGTTAATCTCAACCGTTCAAAATTATTCAATATGCATTAATCCTCAACTTTTGTCAACAACCAATAAAAATCAAGTATAGTGTATTCAATATTTTTCATGACAAAGACCTTTAATGACAAAAATAAAAATAAAAACTTGAAAGTATAAAAAATAACTCAATTTAAAATGATTTTTTTGAATATTTTATTAATAAAATATAAAGACCCAAAAATGAACAAAAATGATAAAAAACGGACGAAAATTTATCCGAAAAAATAAAATGAACACATTAAAATAATCTACATGTCACAAAGATTAAAGAAAAATATTCAAGAAGTCAAAAATCAAAAATAAAATAATAATAAAAATATCAGACTAAACAGACGTTTAAGGTTAAAAACGAGACTTCGAACTGTACCGAAAAAATAAAGCGAGCATACCGTCATAATCTATGCGAGATGCAGATTCATAAAATGATCGGTAAAAGGTGAAAACTTGAAATATTTTTCTCGCTAATTTTTTCGCACATTGTTGAATCGCTTTTAACAGTTTGTCTATAAAACCAAAATATTTTTATTATCGACATATAAACAACTTGGAGCAATGCAAGAAACGAGTAAAGAGATAAAAATGCATGAAGTGAAATATCAGGTATTTTTTAACTAAAAGACGATGCAAACTTTGATTTAAACTGACTTTTCTGGTCAACTTAAATACGACTAATGATGCAAAATATGATGAATGAAGATATTTACTAATGATTGTGACCAAATGACAAAATATGGTACGAATGTGCGACTGAAAAAATTAGGGGCGAAATTAAGGGTGCAACGGTGTGCCTTGATGAATCAGTCTTCGAGAATCCATAATCAACCGTACTTTCGGCTTGGGAGACTCAAAATCTTAATTGAGGCGCGACACCTGATGCTCTTGATTCAGACCTGTCTCTGCACATGAAACAAAAGAAAACACGAACATACACCTTTGTATGCGATTAGAATTTAGTGACACATAGGCTCAAAATGTTCAAAACACTTGACAATCTTCACATAGTCTAAGCTCGAAGGTAAGGGGTTAAAACCGACCGTATTTCGTGACCTTGACTTATCTTTAAAATGCAAAAATAAGAATGGGATCTTAGGTCAAAAATTGGGGTACAACAGTTGCCCCTATTTAAGTTTCTTCTATCTGGAGATATGAAGATTAGGATCTTCATTTCGACGAGATTGAAGGGACTTAAATATAGAATACACAATTTTTGGCCTTAAGATACCGCGATTATGTTCATGATATGATATGAATGTAATGCTCTGAATTTTATGGGGAGTGACGCCATATGAGACAGACTATGATGGCGAAACCAAGCACATTATACAGTAATTCCACAGAGGAAGAGGTTGTAACTCCACTGGGGAAACAGAGTCATAGACTTCAAATGAGAGACTCTTGAATGATTTATATCAGTGTTGATACTGGAAAAGAAATGATTTACATCAGTACTGAGACTGGAAAAGCATATGATTGACATCAGTACTGTGACTGGGAAAGGAACTGATGGACATCAATACTGAGACTGGAAAATGATTGACATCAGCACTGTGGCTGGAAAACAAAATGATTGACATCAGCACTGTGGCTGGAGATAAACATCTCTGATTTCTGAATTTTACCAAGAACGGTAACACATTTCTTCTTTAACCAAGATATCGCTTGAAAAGGATAAAATAACAAACTTCCCAACGGGATTTTTCCGAAAGGGATGCCATTTGCTGAGTAGACATTATTGTTGGGGATACACAAGCTGCTCAAATAAAGAGGCCGCCACTTGCTTCCTTTCAAAGGTGTCAATAACATGCAAGCTGCTCATGAAGAGACCGCCACTTGCTGTCTTCAAAGAATATTAAAGCACACAAGCTGCTCATGAAGAGTCCGCCACTTGTTGCCAAAAACCCACAAGCTGCTCATAAAGAAGCTGCCACTTGCTGTCTTCAAAGAATATCAAAGCACACAAGCTGCTCAAATAAAGAGGCCGCCACTTGCTTCCTTTCAAAGGTGTCAATAACATGCAAGCTGCTCATGAAGAGACCGCCACTTGCTGTCTTCAAAGAATATTAAAGCACACAAGCTGCTCATGAAGAGTCCGCCACTTGTTGCCAAAAACCCACAAGCTGCTCATAAAGAAGCTGCCACTTGCTGTCTTCAAAGAATATCAAAGCACACAAGCTGCTCATGAAGAGTCTACCACTTGTTGCCAATAACCCACAAGCTGCTCATGAAGAAGATGCCACTTGCCATTTTCCGTACAAGCTGCTCATGAAGAGACCGCCACTTGTTGTATTTTTTCAAGGTATCAATAACATACAAGTTGCTCATGAAGAAGATGCCACTTGCCATTTTCCGTACAAGCTGCTCATGAAGAGACCGCCACTTGTTGTATTTTTTCAAGGTATCAATAACATACAAGTTGCTCATGAAGAGACCGCCGCTTGTTGTTTTTCAAAGGTGTCAATAACATACAAGTTGCTCATGAAGAGACCGCCGCTTGATGTTTTCAAAGGTGACAATAGCATACAAGTTGCTCATGAAGAGACCGCCGCTTGATGTTTTTTCCAAGGTAACAATAACATACAAGTTGCTCATGAAGAGACCGCTGCTTGCTGTTTTTAAAAGTGTTGATAACATACAAGTTGTCCATGAAGAGACTGCCGCTTGCTGTTTTTAAAAGAGAACAATAACACACAAGTTGCTCATGAAGAGACCGCCGCTTGCTGTTTTCTCAAAGATACCCATAAAATATCATGAAGATATTGCTGGAGGTGAGAATTAATAATTTCATCGAGGATTGACAAACTGCTCATGAAGAGACCGCCATTTGTCGTTTTCCGTACAAGCTGCTCATGAAGAGACCGCCACTTGTCGTTTTGAGAAGGTGTTGATAACATACAAGTTGTCCATGAAGAGACTGCCGCTTGTTGTCAATAACTCACAAGCTGCTCATGAAGAGCTGCCACTTGCCATCTTCAAAGAATATTAAAGCACACAAGCTACTCATGAAGAGTCCGCCACTTGTTGCTTATAACCTACAAGCTGCTCATGAAGAGCTGCCACTTGCCATTTTCCATACAAGCTACTCATGAAGAGCTGCCACTTTCCATTTTCCAATGAAAAATAACGTACAAGCTACCCATGAAAGGACTGCCACTTGCCGTTTTTTCGAGGTGTCAATAATATACAAGTTGCCTCGGGAAGAGACTGCCGCTCGCTGTTTGTCAAGAGTATCCATAACACACAAGTTGTCTCATGAAGAAACTGCCGCTCGATGTTTGGCGACTTCACTGGGGATGGACAAACTGCTCATGAAGAGACCGCCATTCGTCGTAGAGAAATCATAAATAATCAAACTTCTCAAATAAAGAGTCAGTCGCTTGTTGTCATGTCGATATTCCAGAAGAAGGTTGTGATAACACTGCTGGGGAATAAAGTTCATCTTCAATGGGGAACCATGAATAAATCCTTCTTGAGGAGACCAAGTATTTACGTTGCGAAATAAATGCACTCTCCATCTAGGTTTCACAGCCTAGAGAGATCCACATGGTATCGTTCACAAGAGACAAAGCTCAATCCAGGAATAAACTGGAGAGAAAATAGTCAAACAAGACTCCACCCAATGAGGAAACAACTCAAATGGGGATTTATCCTATCCAGAGATGGAAAAGGAAAGCTAAAGCAAGATTCTTCCACGAGAGTTAACTCAGTGGGGAATTAGAAAAAGAGGCGCACTTTTTGCTTAAGTTGACACTCTATTTGGAAAGATCAAATACGCTATTTGAATAGACATAACCAAGGTATACGTACATCAAAGACATCAACAAATACAATTGTGCATGCATGATGCAAATGTGAATGAATAAATGAATGTCATGTATATGATGACAAAACAGACAGGGGAGATAGACAGAAAATGATAAGACATCACAGTACAACTCGACACTCGGCTAATCTCAACAGGATGGTAACATTACTGGAGATAGAAAACAACAGCCATCATTGGAGCAAAGTCCTTTTACAAGGCTTAAATCTCTTTGGAGAGGAATATATTTTCAGGTAGAAAACCCAAAGTCCAGTCTTCCATTGTCAACAATCCATTGAAAGGATAACAACACAAACAATGTTTTAGCTGGAAAAAGCCATGCTTAACTGGAGATACTGGGAACACCACCTTCTGATAATGTGTGCAAAACATATCACATATCTTTGACAAATCTGGATTGCCCCTGGGACTAATTTTGGATGCCCCAAGTTTACTGATGATAAGCTGTGTGATGTACGACAATTCTTGCGAATAGCTTCACTTCTAAAATGCCCCAAGCTATATGGTTGATAAGGAGAAATCGTCTCAAGAGGATTTTACAAAAGACCTGGCATTCACTATGCTCTGGTGTCTTCAAACTCTTAGAGAGATTCATCAAATCTCGATGTGATTGCCCCGGATTGACTGTAGTTGGCACAACAAAGTCTTCACATTTTGCCCCAAAAGAGTAAACAAGTTGGGAAGGCATTAACTGGGAGAAGCAACATGTTCGTGCTTAAGGTCTTCAGCTGACATGCCCCTGGATATGATTTTTCTTGAAATGATTCTCCAATTACTCAACATAGTTTCAAGCCTTAAAAGAATAAACTCATCATTGCTGCTTATATGTGAGCTTCCTTGATATCAAACAAATGTTTTGCAGTTAGAAAAGTTTATTATGAAAATTCTAATGCAACAGTTATGTAAGTCTTGAAGATTTTGAAAAGATATCGCACAAATTTTGCGAGTTAGAGCATCATTTATTTTTGTATAGGAAAAACATATGATACCAACATAACTATTTAGAACATTCATGGGATTCAGGAACACTATCTCATTGAAGTATGCTTTCAAAATAACCTTGCTTCAATTAGGACTT